GAAAGAAAGAAAGAAAGAAAGAAAGAAAGAAAGAAAGAAAGAAAGAAAGAAAGAAACTATAACTCCACAAACAGAGGTACACGCTCCCTTAAGGCGATTCCTTGGTGAGAATAGGACCATAATGCAAATGCAGGCACTGAAGTTCTGTGACTTCATTATCACAAGGTGATCACATTATTTATTTTCTCACTGAATTGCAAATTTCAAAATACCGTTTAAACTTGCAGACCTTTGGTAATATCCCTGGACCCTGTGGTAGGGTGCATTTTTGAGCCTTGATTCTTCACCCTTTCCTGTATCTTCACCATTTGTTGTGTGACTTTGGAGTCTTCCTGACAAACGTGAGAAATAATAAATGATTATGGTTTTAACCATTATTTTTAGGGTGGTTTGCTTCACAGCAATAGTGAACTTGGGGTTTGTTCACAGGGAACCATGGATCCCATTTTGAGGATCACCTAGTAGAGGTGGCCAGAGAAAACAAATAGCTTTTCTAAACTGCACACCTGGGTGATCCCTTCTCTTATGCACTCACATTACACATAATTTATGTTCCTTCTAAAACAAATCCTGAACTAATAAGATTAAGTTTTATTTCTTTAATAGCTACTAAGAGCAAAAGACATTTTATCAAGCATCCAAAAAGCACACAGTAATTCACACGGGGGACGTCTGACATAAAAATTATTAACTAGTAGCAGATTACCTACTAAGGAGTAAAGAAAATTCTAATGAACACACGAGTATCACGTGTAAACAGTACCCACTCCCTCTAAGGCTGAGGCGTGGTGCTCAAGGAAGAAACAAATTTAGAAGAGGGCCCTCTCTTCACCTGTCTCCATTGAAAGGGAGTGGCTGGGGACCACTGGATGGCAGAGAAATTCCCTGAGATGCTACAGGAGGGGGCTAGTAAGTAGGAAACTTGCTGGAAGCTACCCATTTGGGCATCTGCCAGACTCACTGAGCATCACTAAGAAGGTGCCCCTCAAGGTGCGAGAGGAATTCATTGGGAAGCTGCCTGCTGCAGTGGTGGCAAAACCCACTGGAAAGTCCCCCAAATGGTGCCATCAAACTTATTAGGGGTGAGCACCACTGGATGTCCGTGCACGTCTGGCCTCCATCCACCCCAAGAGCAAGCAGGGGAGAAGAGTACCACAAAACCAGGATGAGAATTCCCTTCTTCGTCCAGTGTCCCTCCAGTGCTTCTTATGGAATAAATGTTTACAGGGTCAGGTTCAGCATCACAAAGCAAGGCAAGGAAATATGGATTTGGAGATGAGAGGAAATCAGTAACTGGAACAGGCATTTTTAGTGTTGAAAAGCTTCTGGGAGCTTACTCTACAAACTTTTACCATTCTAAGCATCCCTTCCTTTTCTCCTACAACCAAATACCACCTGTCTTTGCCTTCTACCGAAGACAGTGGATGTTATGAGTTTGAGGCTCAACACACTATTCAGAATGCAAAGGCAACAAGATGGTGATGTACATAGAAGCTTATAGCAGTTAGAGTTTCATCTGAGAAGCAGATGGCTGCACTTGACATAGAATAAGGGATTTATTACAAGGGGTAGATTTTACACGAATGTGGGAGCTGGTGGAGTGATCTGTGCAGGCTGTTGACTCTATGTCTAGGGTTGAGCCTGAAGTTACTCTAAGTCTGTCAGATCAGCACACCAGAAGGAAAGCTGGGTGTAGAGGAGGCAAAGACAAGCCAGCATGCATGAGGACAACTTGGAACCCATAAGGAGACACTGGAACCCACTTCTATCTCTTACTATGACCAACCCCAATGCTGTGGGTGACCCTGCAGGGGAAGTTGGCACCCATTATCATGGAGCTGCACACATACCCAGCCCAGGACTCAGAGAAGCAGGAAGAGAAGACCCGGGGGACCTGGAGCTGCTACAAGCCTGATACACCAGTAAGTTAGCGGCAGATTAACAATAATGTCCAGGGCATAAAAAATATGACTTCTTCACTTCTACCTTCTGGATTTCACACAGAATGTCTCTCGTGGCCATAAAGAATCACACAGGAAAAAAAAAAAAAAAAAACTCTGGGAAACATTCCATGTTAGCTAAATTGACTTAGCACCAAGCTACCACAGGCCAGCGGCGAAACTCCCAGTACCGTGTAAACCTAATTCATATGGCTATCAGCAAAGCAAGATGAGACCCTCGGGGAGTTTAGTAAAGAAGAGAGGCAATGGGAAAGGGGTACCATCTGTTCTCTGATGGATTTTCTCTCCAAAGATTTGTATTTCAGGGAAGAGGGTATTAATCGTGATGCTTTAGGTTCTGAGTAGTGACATATTTCAGTATAGGACATAGAACAGGAGCACCTGCCTGGCTCACTTGGTAGAGCGTGTGACTCTTGATCTCAGAGTCATGAGCTCAAGCCCCACGTGGGGCATGGTGCCTACTTAAAATAAAAAACATACTGAAGTTTTATTTTCTAGCTACAATACTGATAAACCTCTCAAGAAAATACCAATTTCTTGATAGATTCTTTCAGCCACGCTACTTGTTTCAAATATTCATTATCAGCTTTATTAATTTTTACTAATAAAGACATTAACTAATTGATGTTAATGAAAAGTAATTATACTATAAAAAAAGTCATGCACAAGATATAAAGTGTTTGAATCAATACAGAAATTTAATGAAAAGTTAAAGTCATCATTTGTCTCCCCATATTCCCTCATTTAAAATGTCTTCAGGGGTGCTTGAGTGTCTCCGTCAGTTAAGT